GGCTTCAATGATTAACTTTGGTGCAGAAGTCTCTACAGCTGAAAAGAGACAGAGGAATATATCATCCAAAGCAGAGATGAGAATGGGGAGATAAAAGTTTAGTGATTATTAATGAATTGTTGTATCCTCCTTGTTGAGTTGTAATACATAGAAAGGAAATGCAAGACAGCAATTTAGTGTCTGAGGAAGTGGTAAATGCGGTTGTATCTGACTCTGCAAACAGTGAACTAATGCTTTGGGTATTCATATCCTATTAAACTTTATAGTTCCAAGTGGAAAAAAAAAAATCTGTTGGTAGCGATACTACTATTGTCATATTCTGGGTATATCTTTATTACATGGGAAGACAACACCCAAATATATATTTGCTTATGAATTTAAATTCATGGCCACCAGTGAACATTTGAAAATTAAAAAGAATTAGGTATAGCAGTTTTAATATATGAGTTTATTAAATATAAGGATTTGTCATGCATTTAGCAATATACAAAGAGGTAATATTGCAACATCTTTGTTGACAATTTTGTTAATTTTTTTTTTTTTAAATTTGTATTTTGATTTACTTGTACTTTATTCACCAGAGAAAGCAACCAGTGAGATGAACACTGCAGAGGACTGGGGCCTCATCTTAGACATCTGTGATAAAGTTGGACAGTCACGCACAGGGTAAGTGTCTTTTAGAAATTTCCTCCCCAAACTTTTTAAATTTTGTTATTTCAGTCTCAGATGAGAGGAATGAAATTTTTGTTATCTTGTATAGACTTCTGCAACAGCTCAATTTAACTTAAATTTATTAAAAGACATGGATTTTCTGCTCAAATATTTTGCAATTCTTCCTTTGGAGATACTAGCTGATCTGTTAAAATTAGGACTTGTGTACAGCAGCTTTTCACCAATGTAACAGAATAAATAAACTGGTTAGTTTCAGCAGTGTCACTGTAAACCCAGGACACTTCATGAGGGATTTTTCTTACAGAATCATAATCCAGGTTGGAAGTGACCTCCAGAGGTCATCTAGTCCAACCCCCCAGCTTGAAACAGGTCTAATTAGATCAGGTTGCTCAGGACCGTGTTGAGTCTTGAATGCCTCCAAGGTCAGAGTTTCCACAACCTCTATGGGCAACATGTTTCAGTATTTAACTACCCTCGCAGTAAGTAAGTAAATGAATAAATAATCCTGCAATCGGATTACAATTTCCCCTGTTCCAACTTGCCTGTTGCATCTTGTCCTATGGCTCTGCAGCTCTCGCTGCGTCTTCCATGTATCTCTGATTAATTAGTTGTAGAAAGCAGTAGGATCCCCTTTTAGTCCGCTCTGGGAGAGCACTGGGGAGCCCCAAACCGGACAAAGTAATCCAGATGCAATCTTAGAGGTGCAGAATGGAGGGGAAGGATCACTTCCCTGGCCTTGTTGGCTGTGCTGACCACTTGTTCAACCCAGGATACGGTTGGTTGTCTTTGCTGCCAGGCTGCACTGCTGACATCTGTCACCCAATAGGACCTGCAGATCCTTTCCTGCGGAGCTGCTTTTTAGGTGGTCAGCTCCTGGCCTTTGCCAGTGCAGACTGCCCGAAGTGCAACACTTTGCCCTTGCTCTTATTGAACTTGATGAAGTTCTGGTCTGCCCATTTCTCCAGCCTGTCCAGGTCCCTCCAAATAGCAGCCCTGCCCTCCAGTATATCAATTGCAGCCCCCAATTTGCTGTTGTCAGCAAAGTTGCTGAGAGTGCACTGCCTCCCATCATTCAGGTTATTAGCGAAGACATTTAGTAGTGTTGGTCACAGCAGAGATCCCTGAGGAACCCCACTAATTACTGCCCGCTAGCTGGAATTTGCACCACTGGTGACAACTCTGTGAGCTTAGGAGGCCAGCCAGTTTTCCACCCACCCTTTTATCCAGCCCATATTTCACTAGTTGGGTGATAAGGAGACTGTATGAGCTTCAACTGTTTGTTGAAACTTTGCTAAAACCAAGGTATAAAGCATCTGCTGCCCTTCCCTTGTCCTCACCACCAGACCACCAGTGTCTTTGTCACAGAAAGCAATGAGGTTCTGTGTTTCTTCCCCTTGTTTTGAGAAGGTATTCTCTGACATCAGGGCTTTGATAAATGTACATTTTGAAAATGTGATATTAAATTAAACACATCTTAATATGGGCCACTAATGCTTCTGTTATTGATTCTTTAGTGAGCTCTTTCATAGGCTTTATGCATGCACTTGTTCTTTGGACATGAAAAGTTAAAGTATAATTTGAATCAGCAAATAAAAAATACAGTTTAAAGACATTATTTCAGTGTATCTATAGTGGGTTTTTTTCAGTGTAGCATTAGGCTTTGGAAATGTTTTAAATACATCTTCTCCAAGCATTCCCTGTAACAATTCAGGTAAGGAATAGCCTCAAAAAGAGAGTTATGCCATTGCTGCTGTTTAGTGAAAGGCTTCTCTGAGAACGACTTGGATTGCCTTGTAAGACTGTGGAAAACAGTATGAGATGCCAGACAGCAAATTCCCACCTGAGAATTTTGTTCCAAAGGACAGGTTTGCAAATAAGCTTATTCCTTGGGATTAGAGATGGTCTCTAGAGGTGTACTTAAAAATAGCATGGCATACTGAGACTTCTGTGCTGCTGTGTATAACTGTAGTTAACAGCTGGCAAGTTGTTAATAATGTTTCATGTTGGTCTGTATATGTAAAACTGCATTTTGGCTCCTTGTGCATGTTGATGCTGAGCCTGTAACAATAACTATATTATTGAAGGCTTCAGTATTCTGTTTAATCACTGAAAGCATTTCTATAGACATGATTTAGTGTTACAGCAACTTAGCCTGAACAGTGCTCAAATGCATGTAGCTGCAAGAGACAGCTGCTTGGGAGTACAGACAAAGCTAGAGATCTTCTGGTAATGTGCAGCTAAATTTCTCCGGGACGGCTGGAATTTCTGTTATGATTTGTGGGTTTTGTTTGTTTGTTTTCTTTTTGTATTTATGTTTTGGGTTTTCTTAATAAAACAGTGGTTTTATCCTGGCTGTGACTTTAACCTCCGTAATACTTACCCTGCTTGTAATACGCTGCCAGCTGACTCGTTGCTTAAATTCAGATTCTGTTAAAACTTGCTGATAGTGGGTTTTCTTTGTTTTGTGTCATGCCGTAGCAAAGTAAACAAAGACAAAGTTCCCTGTTAAGAAGTTTAAATCAATATGCTATTCTGTTTCAAGTCCTCCTGCAGTTTAAGTTTGTGTGGCAAGGATGCTAGTCTTCTTAACTGGTATCTGCTTTAATCTTTTAGCCAGTTCTGGTCCAATACAAGCTGTCTGTTAGTGTTCTTGGCAGAAGTTTAGATTATAAAATCTCTGCTGTATGGGTTTTCTTTGTATCACCCTGTAAGCTCTGTTGCATGCCTGTAGCATTTTAGATGTAGATCGTCTTACAGCTGAAGCCACGGTAGACTAGAAGGACTGTTCTTCATTAAGTGGCACTTTTTGTCCCATAGTGTTACATGGCTTATTGTCTCATTTAGGTCTGCCAACAACTTGTTTGCATCCAGACTAACTGTTGGAAACCTGTTATGCTACAAAGATGCTACATTTTCTCTTAAGATAAATTAGTTACAGTTCTGTAACAGGACTGCTACTGTTACTTTTTACATTGTAATACCTTGGTTACAGAGAATTGCCAATAGCTAAAAATTTTACCTTTCTTCCCTTAACCCAACCAACTAAAACAGGTTTTAGCAAATTAGAATTCCGCTGAATCTCTCTCTTTGACTGTCTATTTTTGGTGAACTTCAAAATCTAATTGATGAGAGTTGATGCCAGAATTTTCATAGAAAACACTGGAAGGGCAGTAAATTTTTAATAATATGCCTTTTTTACAACAGTATATATAAAGTATTGCCACATGTGTGGAATTAACTTGATACTTTCTGCATGTTTCGCATATCAGGTTCTTAAATGATCTAAAATTTGTCTAACTATGAGACAATCAACATGGTTTTTTAATCTCTGAATTTGTTTTAGGAACTCATACAGCTCAGCAGTTGCGTGTTACATTGTTTGCATCCTATTTTGGGGGAATATTGGTAGTTCAATGAGCAACATGGAAACATGGTTAAAATAAAGGTTTTACCATTAGTGGCAATCTTGTTTTCTGTTTTTATACAGCATTATTGAAAACTTGTTTACTTTAAAAACTTCTATCATATTTGACTGGCATTTTAAATTATCTGAGTACAGGAAAGGTATAGATTTTTGCATAGTGTTGTTTTTCTGCAACGAAAATGCTTACACAACCGAATCTATAGTTTATCAGCTCTGAGTAAAATAACGCTATAACGCTATTCGTTAAGCAGCATAAAAGGGAAAAGTAAAGGCCACATATGGTATATTTTAGCATGAATGCATTTGGCTTTGAGATGGTTGTACCTTTTTTATTAACTTAATGAGACATATCATTCTGAAACTATCACAACTTCAGTTTTTCTCCAGAAAAGTTACTTAATAAAAATGATGGCTGAAAAAAAAAAAATGAAGTCACCAATGGTTGAGAAAACAGAAATGTTCATTGCAGCACTCTCTGTTAGGGGTGGGGATGGATATTGAAAAACTGTCATTGAGAAATGGTTTGACTATATTGCTGCTTGCCTAACTTTGTCCTGATTCCTTATGGATTAATCACTGCCTCAGTGAGTCAGTATTCTGGTTAGCTGATTTTTCTTTGATTGTTTTTGTGCCTGTTCCTACAAGAGAGAACAGTAAAATTGCTTACTTGATAGTCTTCCAAACTAACTTCTATTTATTTTTTTTTCCCCTCAAGTTACCCAATCTCAGTAGCATTTTACATAGTCATTGCAGTGTATGTCTACAGGCTGACCAGAAAGCTCTTTGACTAGCTTGTTTCTAAAGGAGCAAGGAGGAAAATGGACTCACCTGTGTAGTCTTGAGCCCCACAGTCAGTTACCTTAGACTGTAAATGAACAGTAAATTCCTGAAAATTTATGAAATACTTTGTGCAGAGTAGTATTTTAGATTCCAATTGCTGTTAATTTTGTCTTTGTTAAATAAAATATAATCAAATACATTATTTTTTTACTCTGAAACTAAAACTGAAATTTATTGTGAATGTTTTTTGTATATATTAGTATGTAATACCATAGCTTCTATAGTATCTTGCCTTATTTTCCCCCTACTGATTTGTTATTTCCACTCACTGTGCTGCCTCTGAAATTCTGATTGTAGAATCATTGGAGCAGAACTGTGGCCCAGTGTTTGTATAGTACGAAGAGATGCATAATAAATAGAATTCTGTTCTTGTGGGGTGTGTGCCTTCCCTCTGATTGCTGCATAGTGCTTCTAATAATCTACAAACTAAATTGTTTGATGAATTAAGTTAAAGTTAGAATAAGGATTACAGTTCTGTCTAGAATAGGGATTCTTAGTCTGTGTGACTACACGTTGGTAAGCCTGGATATTTTTTTTTGTGTAGATGTAATCAAAAGATTTTTTTAAACATTTGAGTATGTTAAAACAATAATACTCAAATATTGATCGTTTCTGTTACGTATATAAGCAAGCAGATTTTTTTTTTAAAGCATTTTTATGAATGACTGAGGGGTTTCTTTTTTTTTTTAACTTTTCAAAGTTGTACTTGACACATGCAGAAGACCATTTGGTTTTGATGCTTTCTTGTTACTTTATTACTTCTTAATAAGACTTTGGATTCCTTAATAAAAAACTCTTAGGCTAATGGTCCTGTTCCTGAACTGCTAAGCTCTTGATCCTGCATCCTACCTTTACAAATGCTGGCTTAACAATTAATGGCCATGCACCACTTTGTGCTTGCGCTCATATCACATTGATAGTCCTACTCATAAATGAATGGTTAAAAAAAGCAGTTATTCCTGAAAATTTTAGCATGTATTCTTTCTCAATTAAAGTGAACATATGAGAAGTCTTGGATAATTAATAGATAACAGGCAGTTCTTGTCTTATAGCCTTCATTTGTAGTAATTGGGTATATGAAGGTATACACTGAGTGATATGTAGTCTTGCTGTGTGACAGCATTTTCTATAATTAGTACTACTAAATATGAAGTGGACATTTCTGTAAAATGTAGACACTGCCAAATATAGTATAGCCAAGCAGTGGTGTAACTTATACCTAAGTTTCATGTTAGTTCTTGGATGTCAGTTAAACAGAAAAATAATTTTGCTTCAAAAAAAAAAAAGTTACTATAAATACTCCAGAAATGCATAAAATCTCTTAGTTTAAATTTACCTTCTTTATTCAGAGCTATTCACCAGATAATGCTTGTACACCCATGATAATTCCTACCCCAGCCTTGCTCAGCCTTCCACCATCTTTAAAGACAGAACAAAATAACAGAAAGTCACACAGATTTTAATATGCTAAACTGTGTCTGAAACTCCCATTCAAATTCTTCCTTAAATTTCATTTTCATATTATTTCTATCTACCACAACATAGGTAAGACTTGAATTCTGTATTTAATTTTTTTGAAACTTTGATGTAGAATGCCTAACAATTTTTTTAGCGCTTGTTGGTTCATTGCATATCTTCTTTATAAATGTTATTCTGTAGATTAAAAGAGACTCTAAGGAACATAGTGGTGGTAATTTAAAAAAAAGAAAGTAGCAAAAGGGTGTTGATAATCAGTATATAAGCAAATGTCCTTAGATATGTATGCGAAATATGGAGGAGGAGGTGCATGGACTACAGAGAATTACAGTTCTCTAATTGTAAGGGAATTGATGTATTTCTGGAGTATTTACAGTAATTCTCACTAACTACGAAAGGTAATGTAACTTACTGAGAAGTTTTGATAACTGAGCAAGCTAGCAATACTACAGATAGAAATGGCTACAACTGTTAATGGCGTTCATTTATTTTTTTTTTTTAATGTTGCACTTATACTAAATAATTTACTGACTATGTTCGGGAGAGCTTGCTGTCTGTTAACGTTGTCATGCATTGTCATGTGTGCAATAGGAAAAGTTCATTCCATTACATTTTTTTAAATGTCTTGTGTTTTTTAGGCCTAAGGACTGTCTCCGTTCTATTATGAAGAGGGTGAACCACAAAGATCCCCACGTTGCTATGCAAGCATTAACAGTAAGTTTTTTTTTAATGCAGTGCTTTTCATTCCTGAAAAGTTATATTGCAAAACATCTCTGAGTTTTAATCTTTCTTTCTTCAGCTTCTAGGAGCATGCGTATCAAACTGTGGTAAAATCTTTCATTTAGAAGTCTGTTCAAGAGATTTTGCCAGCGAAGTAAGCAATGTGTTGAATAAGGTAATGTATTGCATTGATTTATACAATTTATAGAAAAGCTAAATCAGACAGAGAATTGGGGTAATCTGAAAGTGGAATGGAATCTACTTTTGCAGGACTGGAAATTTGGTGGTGTGGGCGAGGATACAAGATTACTGGGAAGACTGTGGCTGTGAGAAAGAGCTTCCTGAATGCCACTTCACACTAGAGTTGCTCATGTATTCTGCTCAGGGGTGGTGGTGTGTGGTGTATGAATTTATAAATATACAAATTAATTTTCATGTTAAATAACAACAATGAAACACTAAATACAGATGTGGTGAAATGGAGATAATAAAGGGCTTTTATATAAGCTTGTTTTACTCTATTTTGGGCCTAGTACGTATTGTACTAGTACAAACACAATGCTGGTGTACTATTCTCCCTTTCCAATAAAGATATCCCTTAGTGATACACTTGACTTCAAAATAAAGTGTCTATATAGTTTACGTTGACGGTAACATGAAGTTATTTGAAATTCAGGAATTAAGAACAGATTCCTACATTATTTAACTAGCTTCTACTGTGCTTTCAGGGTCATCCAAAAGTTTGTGAAAAGCTGAAAGCCCTTATGGTGGAATGGACTGATGAATTCAAGAATGACCCACAGCTTAGTTTGATATCTGCTATGATAAAAAATCTTAAGGAGCAAGGAGTTACTTTCCCAGCTATTGGTTCACAGGTATATTAATTTTTGTGGCTGTTCTTAAAGGGTATCACAAATTCTTTTTATCCTCAGTTCTGTATTTTACAGTTCGTAGTCTTGAATTCTATAATGTGTTTTGCAAACAAAATGAAATCTCTCTTGTCTTAATAAAACATTCCTTTGAGGCATGAAATTCTCTGATTTACTTTAGATTTTTACATTGCAGATGAATACAAATCAAAATGGTGAACAACGCATTGTCAGTTTTTTGTTGAATTAATTTTTACATCTTTCACTTTTGGCTAGGCTGCTGAACAGGCAAAAGCAAGTCCAGCTCTAGTTGCCAAGGATCCTGGTACAGTAGCCAACAAAAAGGAAGAGGAGGATTTAGCTAAAGGTGAGGGCCTTTACTTGCTGACCTGATGAATACATTGGTAAATATCAAATAAAGCAGGAACAAATGTTTTGCTTGCTTCCTCTATGTGAATAGTATATTTATGGATTGTGGTTATGATTTCTATTCCTGTCTTTTTGTACCCTTCCTGGAGGCTTAGAGATCAAAACTATTCTATGGGTAAAAAATATGAAAAATCTCATGTTAAGGACATGCTCCATGTTTGATACAAGTTCTGCACTTGGATTTTCCCTCTTCCTGGGGCAAGTGGAGCACAGTCATTTGCAATTTAAACATTTGATGGAAGGCAAAAATAAGGATTATAGTATAAGTTGTATGCAAAGTTGGATTCAGTATTTTGGGTATAACTTGGTATTGCTTTAAACTTCTATTCCTTTGCATACTGCTTCTGTAGTATAATTTAAGGCTTTGATTGCTGTAAGCATAAGTGGCTGTTAAATGTCTTAACTGCATCCCAGTAAACAAAACTAGGATGGTTTCTTTTGATTTACTGTTGTACTAAGGTATATTTAAAGGTCATTTAATGTTCCTATACCAGAGACACGTGAAGAGTTACTCTTGCAGTGGTTTGATCTTTATGGTCTAGGTACTGTTTTTTGAGGTCAAGCTTCGGCAATGTGAAGACATCAAATGTTAGCCCTTGTATGTAGCATGGCTTTGGGCTTAAAGTTGTAACGCTGTACGAGTGAAGTTCTTGCACTAGTAGTTGGTGAATGTTTGCAGTTTCCTATCTTTGATAGAAATTTTTTTTTGTTTAGCTATTATCTAATATAACATTGATTTATTTAAATCACCATTAGCCCATCTGTATGTTACTAATGGTTTCTTCAACAGCTGACCCGCCAAAGTCTACTTTTCAAGGGATTTGTGTCTCAAAGGTTCAGATTCTGCATGGGTTCTCTAATGCTTGTTCTCTTCTTTTTTGTGTCCCACTCTGTCCCTTCTTAAACATGATCATTTTTTCACAAACTTAGAGGAGTTTAATATGAGTGGAACCTTTCTGCTCAGTCAATTTTAATTGAAAATGACCCAGAAATGTAAAATTATTCAAGGAATGATAGGGAGAGAACAGGAATGGATGGAATTTTGCTTGACTAAGCAAAAATCTTTTTCTTAATTACGAATTAAGGAGGCACTTATTTACTGTGAGGGTGACTGAGCACTGGCACAGGTTGCCCAGGGAGGTTGTGGAGTCTCTATCCTTGGAGATATTCAAAAGCCATCTGGACGTGGTCCTGGGCAGCCAGCTCTAGGTGACCCTGCTTGAGCAGGGGATTGGACAAGATGACCTCCAGAGGTGTCTTGCAACCTCAACCAATCTCTGCGATTCTCTGATTCTGTGAATTCAGGGTAAAGATTCCTGATCTAACAGAGCTGACCAGCTCTACCTGAACAGCTGTATCTTTTTAATGTTTCAAGCAATCTGGAAAAGTTGAGCATCATGTATATGCTAGTAAGAATGTAAACACTTTACATCAGTTCAAAATAATAACAATAATATAATAATAAAAAATGGATTTCTTCACTGAGTTATCCTGTTTGTGCTTAAGTGCTATTTATTCATCCTGTCCATGTTGAAAGCCTCAGTAAATCTATGGGCAGAATTGTGCTCTCTAATTGTAAAACATCTTTTTGGTTTTTACCATTATTTCTAAGTGAAAGGCAGAAATTGATTATGATGCAACAGGAATGGAATTATACTAAAAGTGTTCACAGAGTTAAATTTTCGTTTCATTCAACTCATTTTTATAGGGAATTTTCATGTGAGTAATTCTTCTTTTGTAGCTATTGAACTGTCGCTAAAAGAACAAAGGCAACAGCAAACCACGCTTTCCAGTTTGTATCCAAGCACCTCAAGCCTTTTAACAAATCACAAACATGAGGGCCGAAAGGTTCGTGCAATCTATGATTTTGAGGCTGCTGAAGACAACGAATTAACTTTTAAAGCTGGAGAACTTATAACTATCCTTGATGACAGGTAATTTATATAGAATGCCTACTAGAAGTATATTAGACTGTAAAAATCAATTGGGAATAATTGTAACTTCTATGTAGAAGCATACATTTGAATACAATTGCAATAAAATACGTTTACGTATTAAATACTTTAGTTATCTCCTAGATCTTTTACATGCAAACGTAATTGCATAAAGATTCTTGTATAAAGATTTCTGTGTATATACAAATTATATTTATGTACAAGTAATATAAATGCCTTGTACAGTGCAATTCTTCGGAAAATTCCATGTGAGCATGAGTTTTTTAATGTGTGGAGTTTTTAATTATTTTTTTATCTTTAGTGATCCAAATTGGTGGAAAGGTGAAACTCATCAGGGTATAGGATTATTTCCATCTAATTTTGTAACAGCTGATCTTTCCGCTGAGCCAGAAATGAGTAAGTAACACTACATTTATGTATTCATTAAGCCTTGCCACGGCCCAAAGGATATTTCTGTAGTGATGTACTTTCCCTGTTTCCTTTCCCTTATGACAGAGTTCAGTTGCAAGTTAATGTGACACTTGAAGTAAAACTGAGCAGCCCTTGCTGTGCTCTCAAAACCAACAGTCATATCTTTATGCGTCAGACCAAGGTTGCCCAAGCTGGCATCCGCTGAAAAATACGATGCTGTCTACTGCTGACTTTGTCAGTAGCTTCCTTGAGACTCATTTAACAACTCCATTGACACCTAGATAAATGTAGGCAACAGCAGGTGTTTTCCAAATTGCCTTTTTGCCTGGTTATAAAGGTACATATCTAATCAAGGAAAAACTGAAGGCCCCTGGCCAGATGGGAGTCAGAGACAGATTACCACTGTTCAAACAATTCAAGAAACCTACGTACTGTAGGTATGTATGTGTGCATAATGGAACAAATGTTTTTTTCTGCATACTGGTTATCTTCTTGTATCTATTTATATCAGTCTAACCTACTCTAAATATTTATTAAAAATATTAAACATTAGACAAGGTTTTAAGATGCTAGAACTGATTTCTGTAAATCTGATGGGTTTGCAAGATGAATCTCCTGTGATGTCAATATGAGTGTGTCAAAAGTACGAGCAGGTCAGCAGAATTACATGTAAGAGTCATCTTTTTGGAGTTAAGATTAACTGATAAGAGTAGTATGATAAGAGTAGTATTTGGCAGCTTTTCTGTCGTGGCCTCTGCTACAGAGGAGTGAGATGCTTTTGCCGGTACTATTTGATGGAGAAAGAATAGCAAAATTTGAGAACTTTCGATTCTGTACTTTGCTCCGGAGAAAAGAAGGCTCCGTTTTGTCATAGATGATTTTACCAGTTTTCTCTTAAACCTGACTCATTAGCCCTATTTCTTCCAATCACTTTCTCTCGGTCTGTTTTCCTGATGACTTATTAAGAAGTATATTATGTGCAGGGAGAGTACGATAAAGACTTTTACTTGCTAAAACATGTTTCTGTTGACCTTGTGTGAACTGATGTCTTTTTTATGCAATTTACAGATTTGTTTGTGAAAATTGTTTAAGTCTGTGGAGATGTTTTTGACCTTCAAAAGTCAACAAAATACTGATTTTTTGAATTTTCACAGTAGACGTTTCAAATGCAAAGAACTTAGGCAACATGCTAGCAGTATAACATTTATGTCATTGCTTTGTTTATTTTTATTTTATAAAATAAAATCTGTTTATCTTACAGTGAAAGCAGAGAAGAAAACAGTGCAGTTCAGTGATGAAGTTCAAGTAGAGACAATAGAACCTGAGCCTGAACCAGTTTATATTGATGAAGTAAGCGTGACGCAAGTACTGATTTTCAGCTGCTGGTGCATTTAAATATGTGATGTTTAACCTTTTCATACTGTTCCTCAAAAACAGTTTGAAATATCAGGAGCACATAATCAAAAGAGAATGAGAAGGGAAAGTTGATTTAAAAAAAAAAATATCTGCACTATTCTAATTTGTTCATGTGTCTTGAAGTTCTTAGGAATTTCTGAAACTGAATTTGGAAACCGCATTCCATTTAGGGCCCTACTCCGGCATTGTACAGCTGTTCACCTCCAAACTAGAAGTTTGGTTGGAGTGATGCATTTGCTTTCAAATTTTAAGTACTTCAGGATGCCTTAGAGATACCCATCTTGAATGCTGGCTTAGATTTATTTCCAGTATAACCACCACTGTCTTCCCCCAGTCTGAAAGATCTCTTTCCTTCTCTGAAAACTGTAAGCTTTTTGTTGCGCTCTAAGTAGTACTTACTGAGATTTGCCCAATCTCACCGCAGTGATTCTGCAAAGTTCCCAGGAACTCTCAGCCTAGGATGGTTTTCCCTGCCTTTTTTTGTTCTTTTCCTTTTTATCTCCGGCCCTCGCCCCGGGGACTTAGACCTGTTCTCTTCAGAATTTTTTCACTTTCTCTTTCATGACCTTCCATTTCTTTCTCAACTAGGGTTCTGTCACTGCTTTTAGAAATGAAAAATCAGTTACTGCCTTCCCAAAGTCCTATTTAACTCCTGCCTCAAATACTCTTCCTCCCAAGAGATATAAGGTAGTTTGTAATCTGCCAAAATAGCTAGTCTCAGGCCTGCCTTGAGGTGCCTTCCAGCTTTTGTCTTCTGTTATTCCACAATAGTTTATGTTTTAGTGTCTTGTTTTGGTTTTAAAATTATCATAGTATAATTTTTAAGGAAGTAGTTCATTTGGCTTCTTCCTGCCTTTACTGGGATTAAGGAGGAAAAAAAAACATGGTTTTAGTTTCCACTTTGATACAACCTATATAACTCTGGCCTGTTAGAGGCTATTTATTTGATAGCACTCAGCTAAAAAGTGATTTTTAATAATTTACATATTGTGTTTGGTTAAACAATATAGCTCACTCCAAGACATACTTTTCAAAGAGTTTATGCCTGTTAATTTTCCACCCTTTTCTATTTTTATAAATGGGTTGCACTTAAACTGGTTAATCACGGATGACTTATTCTGAAGTCAACTGTGTAACTCCTCCAAACACCATCTTAAAAAACCCTTTCATATACATTAGTAATGACATTGCTCATGTGCTGATAGGCGTCGTACACTTACAGAATGCAGGAGAGTTTTTCAGTGAATTTAGTTTTAAGTACCCGTTTCTTTTTAAAGTACTCTCTCAATGTATTCTGTCCTTGCACTAATCCCACTAGGTGGTAGTATTGCATATGTAATAACTAGAATGGAAAAATAGAAATTGCTCAGAAAATACTGTTTAGAAGGAATTTTAGGAATAAAGGGGTATTCTACACATTCCGCTTGTTACTACTGACAATTTTTATCATTTGGCTTTTCCTTGTTCAAGCATCTTCCTTCCTGGAAAGCAGCATGTATGATTTGTATTTTCTTACAGTTAGTCTAGATGATTTCCAGGTCCCAAGAGATCCAAATGGCTGTTGTAAATAGCTGCTTTAATTTACTATCCTGAAAGTGTTAATTCTTCCCCCACCATATATGCCCTAATTACACAATTTGTGTTCTAGGATAAAATGGATCAACTCTTGCAGATGTTACAAAGTGCGGATCCATCTGATGACCAGCCAGACCTCCCAGAATTGCTTCATCTTGAGGGTAAGAAAATCTACGGGGAGGGATTGTTGTTGTTTTCCTCTCTAGTAATTACCTATATCAAAACAAATTGAAACTATTTCAACTTCATGTGCACAGCACAAGCATGCTTGAGAATAGTGCCTGAGCCGTAATTATCTTTTCACTTCCTGTTTCCCACATCTAAGAGACCAAAGTGCAAAATTTTAACTTAAAAGAAGCCCACTCCTCTCTCAAGGAAACTATATTCCATATTCTTTTCCTTTTCAAGACCCAGGAATACTTAACTCAATCTTATTCATCCGTTTTTTTTGCTCCATAGAGTAGCACGGCATGAGTTGCAAAAGGAATGTAAGGAAGATTCCATGAGAGAAAGCAGAAATACTACTGAGGCTTAGAACAGACCTGTGGGTGTCCCACATGGTTTTCACTTGCATGCGTGTTTCTATAGGACTTTAACATTAGCAAATACCCTATAGAGTGCTACAAATTTGACTAGTCCTTTAGACTCAAATTATTCAGACTACCTCTTCAAAGAGGCATTATAGACCATTCTACCTGGGTTGATAGATGCAGCAAAATTTTGGAAGGGGAATTTGGAGAAACTTACCCTTTATGAGACAGAACGTTGGCTTAAATTGACGATTTGTATAGGACCAGACTTTGTTAAGAAAATGGCAGATTCCAGATCTATCTAGAAGTTAATCAGGAAAATGTGCATAAGCTTGTAAGTTTTTCAGTATCTCACATCTTTCCACACCCATCTGGTTCATCATACCTGTAAATGAATCCTGTTTTAGGAACTGCACGTCAGTGACGTGTCTGCACGTATTCTAGTTCCACTAAAGCTAAAGGCGGGTAAAAAGAACCATGAATGTTTTTATTCTTTCAAGTACCAAATATAGTTATAGAGGCTGTTGTCTAAGAAGTGGATTGCCTATATCTGGTCCAGGACTGAGGCAAAGAAATTAAAGGTATGCTTGTCAATCAACCTCCAGACATGGCTAACATCAGGATCTCCTTTCAAAATGCATTGTGAGATCATTAGAACAGTGCTGAATTTTATATTAAACCGTGGGACTACTCCTAGAATCTGAAAGCTGTAGTGTAGTCAGATGGTTGCTCCCCAGCTACCTACTAGAGCGTTTGCCAAACATATCGCTGTGTATAGTTCTACAATGCCACATTCAAGACTGTATTTGCTCTACACTCAGGTAGCTACTATTTTTGGCATAGTTTCTGGGAGTTTTGCTGTAGATGTGTGTTAGATCCTACCAGTAGTGGCAGGTGCTGATCAACATTTGACAAAAGCCCACTTCATTTTCTTCTGCCATCCAGATGTCCAGTCACAAATGTCTTTAAATTGGAGAACTCGTCCCAACGCTTTCAGGAGCCCAGGGTTTGTCGTTGGCAGCACTGCAGTCATTGTGTTAGTGCGCAGACATCTAAGCAATCCTTGTCATGCCTTTTACCACACCGTGTGTTATACATAAAAATAGGCAGAACTTACACCAGGTTTTACATCTCTTCCCAGCATTTCTGCCAATGTGTTACTGATCCCAGGTTCAAAGAACCAGATGGGTGCCTTTCATACAACTCCTCTTTCACCTGTGGTTGCCTTCAAGGCACACATCAGTGATTCCTTTTCACCTGTCATGGCCCAGAGGCTTTCAGGACCTTCTGCATCTCTAATTTTGGAAAAATGGGAGTGAGGACAGTGTTCCAGAGCTGCTTATAATGCATTTAGGTCATCTTTGATGCCTGAATCATTTTTTCTCATCTCTCAGTTTGAATATTGAGTGGCTCTTGGGATTAAATGCATCTCTTGATTAGTAAATAGTTCATTGCTTGGATAAGTTGGCACATTTTGCATTCTGGAGTAGGGTTAGACTGTAATATCCCCTTTCAGCTTCTTTCTTTGTTTATTTTGCATTTCATAAACTCTGTCACTCTGTTAGTTAACTCTGATTTGCTTGGCAGTTACATGAACCCCATGTCCTTGTGCTGAAAGTTGGCAGGGGGTGCATTTTTGTTTATTTTAATACTTTTCCGTTCTACTTCTGGTAAGTTTTTGTGTTGTTTTTTGCACGTCTTAGTGGTTTGAAATAGCCCCCTTCCCCCGATTCGGATTCCAGTGGGATAGCGATGTGCTATTAGTGTCTTTGATGTGCAGATGATTTGAATCATTGCAACCTGTTTTCCCCTTCATTGTTTTGTAGTAATGTTAGTTGAGCACATGATCTAGGTTGCAGTGGCAAATTTTCTTCCCTGAAGAAGAGATCACCTTTCAGATTTACCTGAACTTTTTTATGCAAAATAGTTGCAGTTTTACACTCCCTGGATGTTAAATGTGTTTTGTTTTGCAGTATTTTTATTTTCTTTTTAAAATGTACTTTTTAAGCTGTACTAGTACTGAAAACTTCTGCTGGATCTCATTCTTAAATTGTTCATGACACTGCCTCTGTTACTATAACTTTTCTGGCATACAGATTGTAGTAATGATTAAAAAAAATTGAACTAGCATCTACACATTTCTATCTGATAATTTTTTAAAAAACTACTTTCTGACTTGCAGTATGGAAATCTTTATTACTCTAATATATGTTAATGTCCTTCTATTCTAGCAATGTGCCACCAGATGGGACCTCTGATAGATGAAAAGTTGGAAGATATAGACAGGTAAAAAAGTACATGTGTTTTGACTCAAATTAAGATCTTAGAAAGACCACTGTTGTTACTTAATGATATCTTAATAATTTCTGTGAATACTGGCAAAGAAAATAGGTGTATTAATTAGTAGCTTCTCATCTGGGAGGCGGTCTGAAGGTTTTTTTTTTTTCCTAGTCACATAATATTTTATAGTATTGTACTGTTTCACATTATGGCACTTGTCAGGCATCACTTCACAGGCAGTAAGAGTATGTTGCTTATCACACCTCATGAAAGTTTCCCCGTATTGTCTGTTCTGTACTGAAGTTATCTGAATTGTAGAATAAGCCGTAAAATATATTTTCTAGGAAACATTCAGAACTTTCAGAGCTCAATGTTAAAGCAATGGAGGCTCTTTCTTTGTATAACAAACTGATGAATGAAGACCCAATGTATTCCATGTATGCAAAACTACAAAACCAACAGTATTATATGCAGTCGTCTGGTGTTTCTGGCTCTCAGGTATGTATGTAACCTTTAATAGCCATCGATGTTTTCAAGTACATACTGAGCTATGGTGGATTTCTTATAAATTATTAGTAATAAACAGTTTTTCATGTGAGCTAACTTTTTTACAAAACTTGCTCAAATATTTATTTACAGTATACTTCTCTACATTACTAAAATAAATACATACTGATATATAAAGTGGGTGGAGCATGTTGATTATAAGTAATATTTTATTTCCTACTTCTGCCCTGCTGTTCCCACTGCTCTGCCTCCTGAGTTGGAAACCTCTTTTTCCTTTTTTCTTTACCTTAATGGTAGGTTAAAATCATCTTTCTCCCTCAGAGATAATCTCAAATGAAAGAGCAGTGTTTTCTCTCAACACAGTATGTTAAAAAAAAATATTGTTTTCAGCTGCAAGCTTTGAATATTCTCCTTTTGCAGGTTCTAACACTTTTAGTTCTTTTCTGTTCAGTTCTTTTTGATCAAGGAAAAAGCCCATCCTGTGCTTTGAGTTGCACATAAAATTAAAAATTAAAGCTGCCAGGCCTTTGCATAGTGGGTCAAAGAAAGTAAAGAACCAAAGGAGTACAATTCCTGTTTAAGATTATGCCCTCCCCACCCTAAAATCAATCTCTTCTTTTAGTTTCCTTTTTTTGAAATACCAATAGACAGCATTAAGCATTTAAATAACTGAAGTTTTAAAAATTATAATTCTTTCATGGCAACATTTTTATGTAATTGACTGTTATCTCTGAGGAGGTCTTTTAGCTTATTCATATACTATGGTATTTTTAAAAGGTCTTTTAAACATTTAAATGTTTAATTCCATAGTCTAATGCACACTTGCTGTATTCTTTTCCTATTTATAGGAATATGCAACATTTCAAACTGTTTTTTCAATAATTTACTTGCTTTTTGAGTGAGTAAAAAAAAAAAAATTCAAGCCAACTTATTAATACCTACGCAGTATTATATAGACATTGAAACCGATTTAGTTCTTCTAGCTTCCTACAAATATGTACTTTCTTTCAGTGTCTTTTAAGAAGAGGATGTGTGTTTTTGCAGTGTCATTAAGAGGAACATTGTCTTCCATTCATATATGATAAGCAAGCATATTGTGACCCTGTCGAATAATTTTAAAGTTTTATAAGTGGGCATGTGTCTGGGGATCCTTAAAGGGAAAAACTGGATTTTGAGGTGAAGATGAGCCAGCACAAAGTTCTGAAAAGTTAGGAGGTCTCATGCCTTTGCTGCGTTGTAAAATTCTTTTGCGATATTGATAAGCCTATGAATATGTCATGTGAGATTCATGGATCTTAAGATAGGAGGGCTGTATATCATAAACTTAGATGAACTCAATTGTGCATGAGACCTGATAATTTCTTCTAGTAATTTGTGTTAAGACAAATAATTAATGACTGAACAAAAGTGTAAGGTTTAGAAATTTAGTCTTGATTTAGAATACAGTTGACACATCTACTAGCAATCTTTTCCTCTACTTAGTTGTAAAAAATTACCTTATTTTCAATTGACATTTTCTTAAGACCTCTTTTTCCCTTCTGCCCCTCTCAAACAAATTTACAATGGCAGTCTCAACAGTTACATGAAATGATAGGTTAACTAATGACATGAAAAGAATACTTTATTGTCTTTCCATTTTAACGATTCTACTTAGTGAAAGCTGTCTGGGCATCAAAAAGTATTCTGCTTTGAACTGCTATTTGTTACATGATTTAAATCCTGCAGTATTTTCATTCAAAAGTAGAAGCTCTTAATTAGCATGAGTGATAGCTGTTAAAATAAAATTTGGAATACAAGTTTTCCAGTAATCTATTGACCTCTTTGGTACTGGAGCCTGAGGTTAGAAATGTAAATAGTGTCCTTTTAAAATCTGGTAATTTTTTCGTACTGTAACACTTAATAGAAAGCAACTGATTGTCTTCTATTAAAACATCTGTAATAAAAGGTTTGAGAGACTGTCTTTAAGTTCTAAAGTCTGATATTAAATACCAAATTTTTAATATTCCTTTATTTAACTTCCTAGGTTTATCCGGGGCAACCTCAAAGTAATGCATATTTGGTGGCAGGGAGTGCACAGATGGGCCATATTCAAGGCTATAATCTTCCTCCTGAACAACTCTCTTCTCTCAGCCAAGGCACAGTTACTCCATCTGCCAGCTCAGTACTGCCTGGTCAGCCTGCACAGACGTCTTACACAAAGTAATTTTAAGTATTTTCCTATTCAAGTTTAGATCAATTTAAACATAAAGGACTACAGATAATTTTTAAAGGAGATTTTTTTCTTATAGAAGTATGATTTTAAACACAACTGAAAGATACTTCAGTGCAATTATTTCCAGTATGCTTTTTATTGGTGTCGTGTATTTGGTAAAAATTCCTGACAAATTTCAAACTTTTCTGTTGTTTTTATAATTTTCTCTACTTTTTAATTTTATATATAAGAAATATATACATTTTTGTGTATATATATCTTTTATATAAAAGAAAAATTAGAGAAAATTATATAGACATAACTGATTTTTATTTTTTTTTTTAAGTTAACATACATTTAATGATGAAGATTATCTGCTGCTCTGGCTGGCTTTGCATAACTTCTGAAATAGTGTTTACTGTATTGTTCTTTTTTTCAAATATCTTACTGTGGAAGCATGGGGAGAATTCTGCTCATTTTGGAATAGAAATGAATGGGCTATGAACACTTACTAAAGCTTATACAGCTTCCCCATATAAAGGAGCTACAAGTCGCTTTCTATTTTGGATAGATGCCCAAAGATGCTTAGCTTTGGCTAAGCTACCTATATTGTGGAAAAGTTTTGAATTGACCTTAGGAAAAGATTAGGGTGGTTTTGTTTTTGTTTGGTTTGGTTTGGTTTTTTTTACTCTCTGTATAAAGTAATTTTATCTTATAAAGCTGGGAGAGAGATCCATCTTCAGTTATTAAAATATTTGTTAGTCTCTGTCCCCCAAAGTTACTTATTTGGGGTGGTAAGACATATATTGATAAAGCGAGTTTCTGCATACTTCACCTGACTTGTTTTGCTATTTAAAACAGTTGGCTGGGTTTTGGTTTTTGTCATGAGCAGAATGGAAGATAGATGGGATTCCATGTTGCAAATTAAAATAAAACAAAGTATAGATTCACAGTCTAGTTGTAAATCCATGTTGTGTTAGGTGTGTTTAAATCTGAGGAGTATGTTTTGAGTTTTAATTGGAACATTCATTGGCTATAGTTTTAAATATGCAAGGTGTCCAGACTTGGGAGATTTTTGTGTGTATATGTAGAACAGCTGAAGAAGCAATAAAGTGTTGCTGTTCTGTTGGTACATTGTTTGTTAATTCAACTTCTTTTTTTTTTTTTTTTTCAGTGCAATGGTTGGCTCTGTTGCTGGAAATACTTACTCTAACCAGGCTTCAGTGTATAGTCCACCACCTGCTACTGTCGATGTTGCTGCTTATCAGAATGCTGGAACTAATATGTCCCAGGTGCCAAACTATAACTTAGCATCTACACCTCTGCCACAGACAGCAGGCAGTCAACAAGCACCTCCACAACAACCGCAGCCCCCGCCACCTCAACAACCACAGCATAGTTACTCACAGAAGGCTCTGCTATAGGATCCAGGACTTCTGATTCCTAATCTTCTTTAACTTCTGCTACAGGCAGTTGGCAATTCTATGAGTTTCTTCCTTTAATCTCTTAAACTTTGTTTATCCTCAGCTTAATAAGAATCTATCTTGGTGAACAAGTTCAATTTGCACTGACTTTTTAGGATTTTTTTTTTTTAATTTTGCAGAGGAACGGATATATTTAGGACATTTAATTCCTTCTAAAATGCCTAAAAATTGGTACAAGATTATTTATGTCTGGTAAAATTGGCTAGTCTGTGAAAAGTCAACACTTGCAAACTGTTGTGGCATAGATGTTATGTACATATAGTGTGTGATTGCAATAGTGGCCATTTCGTATAGCTGTGGTGATCATGTGAATATATTTAACACAATGTTTAAAAATAATTTACTTTACTATTTTATTTTAATCATGAACTGACAACCATGTTTCATAGTTTTGTCTAGTTTTATGACAGATGTGATGTCTTTTTCCAATGCAGGAAAAGCAGTAATTCTGCGTATCATGATTACACTTACAAGCTAAGGTCTATATATGAATTTACAAACTTATCTGAGTCTAGGTTTCATTACTTCTTGAATTGAACACAAGTGTATCATGACTATTAGATGGCTTATCTACCAAAGTAAACTAGTTAACTAGTAAGCGATTTGGGGGGATAACAGCAAATTATGATTCTGCTTCAGATATAATTAATAACTTAAAACTACTATTCAGAGGCTGCTAAACATATCATGGGACCATGCAACAGATCAGGATCTTGCATTTTATCATGAGAAGCATATAATTTAATTTTTCCAAGTTGTTTTTTACAATGAGAACCAGAACTGTATTCTATGTGTGTTGGTAGAGATTACACCAAAGACAGAGGAATTGAGTTGGAGGAGAAACGATGGAGTTTTAAACTGGAACACACAACGTGAATAACACTACTTTATTCAAGTCTTCTTAATTAGAACATGGAGAATTATGGACATTTACATCACTTTGCTGAACAAACCTTCAGGGCTTTACTTTATCTCTTGTGGCCTTGCTTAGCAATTTGTTCTGTTTACTGTTCTTACACAAACACTTCTGCCTTAAACATCTGTTTCAATTTCCAGTTGTACCATTTGAGTTTATTAGCCCTTCTATAGCATGAATAGTTTATGACGCATCTTATTTCCATTCACTTTCAGGTTACTTTGAATTCTCTTCTGCAGCAACATGCATTAGCCTTTTTTAAACCCTTGCATTTCTCAGTAACTTAGCCAGGTGGCTTTTTAAGGCATGATATATTCTTTCTACAGCTGAGGTGTTGCAGAAGGAACATGGTGATGGAAGGCAGCATTCTAGATATGCCTGATCAGAGTTTCTTGTGCAAAGACTATTGTTACTTTGCATTTGTGTTCAATCTATTAATGCATCCTTGTTTCCTCTTATTTTTTCCAGTGACTCTAATTCCAATTAGAGCAATACTAGGTGGCTTCAACATCAGATCTGTGTTTTCAGTCTTGTTAGTGTATATGTCAGAAATTGTTCACTTTTGTGTACTGTATTTTAGTGTGATGCTTCTGGAATTAAATGTTGCAATTGTGCATTATACTATAAGCTGACCTCAGTTATCCCATACACTCCTGCGTCTGTTCAGTTACCTAACATACCTTTCTTTCGCTGTTTTAATAGACACTGGTATTTTGCCTGTTAATGCTTTCAGATCGCTGCTTTGCATAACTTCTAACTGGGTGGTTAAAAATTTGCCCATAGCTGATGTGTTCCAGTTGGGGATGTTCTAGCCAGATGGCTGTTTTGATACTGGTATTTTCACGTTTTGTTTTTTTTTTTTTTCTCCAGAATTCTTAAGCACCCTCACAAACTGTCATTACTTCAGTACTTGGTGTCATCACAAAAGTCTGTGGAATTTGAAAGGAAATACTAAAACAAAAATGAGTCCAAGATATTGTCATAGATCATTTTTAATGGATTGAAGAGATGATTTTCTTTAGAAAGGGCATGTAGTATCATTTAGATAGTGTTGTCTGTGTGCTTTAGGTACCTTATTCCAAAATCAGAGAAACAATGTGTATAGAAGTGTGTAATTTTTACACAAAAGTGAAAATAACTTTTTACTCCATAGTTCTTAGGCCCTGATTCGAGGAGGAGCTTGAAGCATCAAAATAGCCCAGCTGACACTGACTATTTGTATTCTTAGGTTTTCACATGTTGTGTCACGTGTTCCCTCATAAAGGCCTATGGAAATTCTCTACAGAAATGACTCAGCAAAAATACTTTTTCTTACAAATTTGTCTTTGTTTTTAAAATTTTTAAAGTCTTCTTTCCTTAACACACAGAAATGCTTGTTCCTGGTTTCTTCTTTGAACACTGAAAACTTACATGTATCTTAACTTCTTCTGCCTTCCGACTTGCTTATTTTGGGCATTTATCCATCTTTAAGAAAATTAAAATCACGTTTTGTTTGTGTTCATCGTGACCAAAAACACTCTCTAAAATGCAATGCCACTATAAATTCAGTATAATAAAAGTTTTGAAAGAAAGACGGACACTTTTTATTTTCCTTCATGCCTTTATTAGAGTCACTGCTCGAAGGTATCTCCTGTAACAAATTGGGAATTTTAGTTGACTTGGAATCAGTTTTCATTGTCCACAACTGGTGCAGTAGATCACTAGATTTTAAGGTTCAGAGTCTTAGCGTTTCTATTGCATCCTACATTTTCCATTTTGGATGCAATTTTCAGATTAAATTGAACTTGGAGCTGTATTGCTTCATGTTGATTTTTCTCATTTATCAGAAAAGATTATTTTGTCTTCTCACTTGCTTGTGTCCTGTATGCTAGATACTCTAAAGTGATGCCTCCTCCTACCGTGCTAGATGCTGTCATTGCGCTAATTCCTTCACTCATCCTCTCGTATCCTCTCTCACTGATAATTTAGCAACTATATTTCAGTGCACCTCCTCTCAGCTGCATAGTGTCATGAACCTGGAGATGCCATTGCTGGGGCTTCTCTGCTGTGATTTATTCTGAGAATCCTCGTTAGGTGTTGTTTTGACCAAGTTCACATATGTTCTGTCTTATTACGGTATGGAACACTGAATATGGGTGAGAAGGGGGAAAGTACATGTACAGCTACTGTATGGAAAAGCTTTTTAGCAAATCAATAAAGCGTTAGGAAGTTAATCTATTTGAGAGTTAAGAATCCCTGGAAATGATATGTTATTCATGTTCCAATAGAAGACCTAATTTTTGAATGTCTTGTTTCTTTACATGTAAATTGTCAATGAAAGGCTAAAATGTTTTCATAATATTTTGTATAAAGCTTTGTTATTTAACCCTTTCATTAAGGAATACAAAAATGTTAATTAACTCCAGAAGGGGTATTTTAGTGGCTTGTTTATCATGAACTGGAGAAAACTCTGGAAAGTGCCTTCTGTGCATTTCACTTCTATAAGCAAAGCTTGTTTACCCCTGTGTATCATCTCAGTTTATGTGGGCATAACAAAGATGTCAAGATTTACTGTAAAGCATCCCAGGAAAAATACTGAGGCAGCATGTTAAAATTTGCTACACTGATGTCATGGCAGTATGTTCCAGAGTGCGCAGTTGCAGGAACGGTTGCAACATATTTACCCACCTCTGTTTAGTAACTGGTACCCATGCAGATGTGTATTTAATGTCACCGGCCAAAGTACATACAGACAGCAGTAAAACAACAGTAAAAAGGAAGAAAATACAAGAATTACTGTATGCTTCTTACCAGGTGTGGAGCAGCGTATTGCCCTCATGGTACAGTTAGTATTCCTGAATTTTGAGGGGGGAAGAACTGAAATGAATTTGAGTAACCTGAACTTTAGAGAATTCTGCCAGATTGCAGATGCTTAGATGTAACAAAGAAGATACATTTGCTTTTAATAGCATGTACATATTTTGGTGATCAAATCTAGGCTGCTATTATAGTTCTCTGATTTCATCTAGATGGCAGGAACATCAGATTTACACTGGAGAACTGCTTAATACCTCATTCTCCAATTTTTGTAGTATTTTCTCTAATATCACTTACCTTATTTTTCACTCATATTTCAAAGATATCCGTGCAGTCTTTACATCTAAAGGTCTTACTTTATTCCTTGTCTGCTGGGTTTCACAGAAAGAATGAAAAAGAACGTCTCTCATTACAGCAGCTACCGTGGCACTTTGAATTACCTAACTGCAGCTTCCTTTGGAGAAGATGCACGTATCTGTTTTGAAGAACAAGGGAGCATAATTTTTCCAGTTAAAAATTAGGGGAGATTCTTTTTTAGAGAAAAAGGTAAAATAAAAGTTACAAAAAACCTCCACTGCTACAAAAACCTCCGTTGCTAACAGCAGGCAGAATCATTTTTTACTCTGTTATTCAATCTTAGTAAAGCTGACCAACTTCATGCTACAGATACTCGTTTTTCATTCTCGGCTGCAATGAAGTATATTAGCCTTCATGTGTATACTATCCAACACCACAGGAAAACATGGGAAGGCCTTGACATTGGAACTTTTTGCTTCAAGAAGTAAAAAACACTATGTACGTTTTTGAAGCCTTGTTTCTTAAATTAGGGTGTTTGTGTTTAAAAACATTCCGTTTGCTACTATGTAAAATTGCAGATCTCAAGTTCACTTTTCATGCTGCTGCCTTGGCAAAAAGGTGGTAGGAGTTTTTGTTTTTCTATCCTGCATGTGCTTCTGGAAATCCAAATAATTTTTGTCTTTGTCATGAAAAAGAAAAGAAGCCTGCTGCAGTCTGCTTTGGTTTTAATAAAGTGTACACAGTAGCAAAGTGCATTTTGGGTTTTGTTTGTTTTGATGCCCCCTTTGATGTTGGCATATGTATATATTTAGATATACTGCACTGTTGTACAAGAATTGTTTTAGTAAATAACACTATTTGTAAAAACTGTCAATTGTTTTTGGTATGAATGCAAAATATTAAAGTTGGAGTATTTAGTTCATTCCGTTGCAAAGTCAATTTATAAATTTCATGGAAGAATAATCAGAAAAGGACTTCCTTTGCTGGAAGGACCTGGAGATGCAGTAGGCAAGGTCTGTTAGAAGTACTTAGGTCAAATTTTCTGATTTCAGGTGGGGTGGAAGTGGGTTTTTGGTTGTTCTGGGGGTTTTGGTGGTGGATTTTTTTTTTTTTTTGTATGATGCTTACGATTATATTATTTTTACTTTTAAAGTTTTTCATCTGTCATTAACTTCCTTCAGCTAAAATCCAAGTAATACATTGTAC